TTCCTTCCTTCCTTCCTTCTTCCTTCCTTCCTTCCTTCCTTCCTTCCTTCCTTCCTTCCTTCCCTCCTTCCTCTCTCCCTCCATCTCTTCTCTTCCCTTTTGCCAACCTCTGTCTCCTTATTACCTATTATCTATTATTGGGCTCATATAAAAGAAGCCATGTGATATATAGAGTCTGCCAACAATGTATACATACTTTAGGAAAAGAAAAATAACATGATTGTTTTCAACAGACGGTGTTACCTTGTATGGGGGACCCTAGAGGATGTTTTCTGTGATATATGACATCCGCTAAGGTCCCCACTACACTGCTGGCTCTGAGAGGAGACGTTGAAAGTGCATGGGCAGCAATCTCAATGACCAAGGTCACCCAAGCAGTAGTTTGCTGTACTAATAAATGTCTGGAAGCCAATGGCCACCACTTTGAGTGCCTCTTGTAATTGAGAGGCCAAAGGTAACTTGCTTTAATCTCATGATCTGATGTCTTTTTTTTTTTTTTTTTTTTTTTTGGGAACCAGGAATTGAACTCGCGACCTTGTACTTGCCAGGCAGGCGCTGTGCCGCTGAGCTAAATCCCCACCCCCAGTGCAAAAGTGCATCCGTTTTTGTACAAATGACTCATTTATCCTTTATGGCAGAATAGTACTCCATTGTGTATAATGCCACATTTTTTATCCATTCATCTGTTAATAGACATATAAGCTGTTTCCAAGATTTACCTATTATGAACTGTGCTGCTAAAAACATGGGTATATATGTATCACTGTAATATGATGTCTTTTACTCTTTTCAGAAGAGACCTAGAAGAGGAATAGCTGGGTCAAATGGAATTTCTAGCTTTAGTTTATTGAGGAATCTCTTTACCGATTTCCGTAATGGCTGTATTAGTTTACATTCCTACCAGCAATGTAAAAGGATTCCTTTTCCCCTGCAACTTTGCCAGCACTTGTTATTATATGATTAATTTTTTTTCTTTTTTCTTTTACCTTTTGTTTTGTTTTATGAAACAGGGTCTCACTATGTAGTGCAGGCAAGCTTTGAACTCTCTATGTAGCCCAAACTGGCTTGAAGTCATGGGAATCCTCCTGCCT